AGTAAATACAGTAAGGCCAGACCTTATGACGCAATACCACCAGGTATTTATAAAACTCAAGATATACTGCTGTTTTACATCTGAACTTTAATAAGAGTCGCCGGCTACTTACTACTAATAGAAAATGTCAATAAAAATTATTTTATTAATTGAATGTGGCTCTCTATCGATAGAGCATGTATAAAATTGTTTCACTTTTACTTAGTCTGGTCGACATACGACTCCTTTTGTTAGATGAAACATATGAGATTCATACCATGCTCTACATGCGTGTACAAACCCCTAACATGCTCTGCGCACACTGGCCCCATTAATATCGCGAAGACATATTTATTTTACGTCTTCATCTGAGTATAGCGATCATTTGATCCATTTAATTGAGTTCGTTCAAAGAGACGGCAAATGAGGCTCGTTATAATAATTGTTCCAGTGATGTAGACTGTGAAATTAGTTGGAAGTTTTCATGCTCTGCCTCTTAAAGAATTTAGATATGTGACATATTACCTCAGCTTTGGACAATATCGTCACGCTAAGAACCAAATTGCGTAAGTCATATTTAGCAATTTTAAGAAAAACGTAGAAAACTTCCTAATGATATTGTTATGCCATTGAGAGAAAATTTTTTTCCATGGTTCCATTTTTAGTCATATGCTGATTTTAAATTAATTGGTATGATGTAGGCATGTGACGTCATAATGTCGTACTGTGACTTACGCAAAAATGTGGGTATGACTTGGGGACATACGCAATTTTACAACTTGACTATATCATCAGTCTTGAAACCAAACATTCGAAAAACGTATGTCTAATCCCCAAAACAGCTTCTCTTTTTTAATAACATTTTTAATGTTTGAAATATATATTTCATCAATATAACGCGCATTTGCAATAAAGTGCATGTCACAAAAATCTCCATTTTTTTGCGTTCCGGAATCCCTGGGATAAAATCTGAATTAACTGACAGGTGCGCAGCATTACATAAATAACTATTGTGTAAAAAAAAATTAAAACCGCCAAAACGTGACTTGGGCAATTCAGTTATTAGCCTGACGATATTTTAAAATGTAGTCATATTGATAACTTCAAATGTCCTATCTTGGGGTTAGGTCGCCCAATACCCGCCAGCCGTGGCCATGATTGAACTACAGGCTGACTGAGTGAATCAATAATTTAAAATATTCCTACATCTAATCGGATTTAAACAAGCCCTAAATTTTATAGTTTCTTCGAGTCTGTTAGCTGTATAACTATTTACTTTAATTTTAGACCTTTTGACCTGTTCTTGGCTGCGTGTCAGTCAGCCATGTTGTTGTGTAATTATATGCATCAGAATCAGGTTGAATTTCATAAATAAAACATTTTTAATTCATAACTCATTCGCCCAATTTGTTAGTCTGTGTCGTTATAGCTATTTATGCTGTTATAGGGATGATTTAATAGGCCATGATTTTGCCCCAGTTGCATTATCAAATTAACTTTTTGAATGTTATGCTTCGAGATTAGTATAGCCGAGCTTCATAATTTCGTCGTTTTCATGGGGTTTTTGTCGCTTATGATTATTTTACTTGATATCATATAGTATATTATTAATTTTGCCTATCCTGATGCACCTAGTCTTCCAAAGAGAAAATTGCCGATAAGCTAGTATAGAAGATCTATTATACATAATGTATTAAGAAAATTAAATTTAATACTTATATTTAAGACATGATATGAACGTTGCCATCTCCCAAAGTGTGTAACCTGCAAATAAATAACTTTTATTTTTAAGCTAACGGGGTCAATGTTTCTTTAATAAGCATTCGGATTGACATAAGACACTAAATTGTAACTTTGCAAATTTGTGTCATGACACACGATTAGCGTCATTCATAAAATGTAACAATCGACAAATTTTGTCAAAGTTATTGACTTGTATTTGCTGCTTATTTCCGACGTTAATTACGTCACTTCGACCAATGATGCATGCCGGTCGATGCGTTTCTTGTTGTGTGGCGTACTGCGGCATTCGAAGTTGCAAGAGCTGCAGACCTAAGGAGGTTGTTGACGTACCTGTTACATAGCTAATTGGTCCAAGTCTAATTAAAAAAAAAAAATAGTATGTATCACTATTGACCAGGCTAATGTTCGGGATGCTCATTTTCATCTCAGAAAGGCGCTGTGTTATTGTTATTGTACCACCAAAAATTTTGACAACAGTGTTGTTTTTCTTTATTCTACTTTGGTTAGGATAAAATGGAGCGATAAACGGAAACATATCAGAATGGAGTTTAACCGGAAAAATTCATTTTCATAAAAACTGGATGTCAGAATCAGTTTAGAATTCTATATCCCTATTTCGTTTTGAACGTAATTAATACCTTATAATGTTATTAATAAATCCACGTGACTCATGTCATTGAAAGTATGCTTTCCTGAGTTTGTGTTTGTGTTTTATGCTTTGCTGTGAAATAGATCATAGTTCAAACATGGGCTGCAGTTGTGGGTTAGCAAATCTATCTACGGCCGAGTGCCATCCCAATCAATTGAGTGTCACGTTTGTTTTAGGTTAGCATTAGACAAGGCCGAATATAGACTAGATTTGGTTGGCGATATACCTTTCGAGGTTAAGAATAATATGAAATCTCATCAATAAATAGATTGCGGCATATTGCTTCCTTTTATTTAGCTAGAAAGTTTGCAATAAAGTATTCATTGAAGATAGGTGTACGTGGCAAACTGTCAGTGCGCATTTTCACAGGGCACGGGGAATATTATTGGTATACTTATTATTAACTTATACTCTCATTCGTTTTATTATTATTTCGAAAAGATAGGTAAATTCCCATCCACAATTCTTTTGGATATTGTCACCGATCTCCAAAATTTGCGTCAAACCAATTTCCCATATGCTTATTTTCCGAGGTTATTAAAATACGCTGTAGTTAGATGCGCAATGATCTATTCTATTGCGTGGAAGCAGCCGCTATTCAACAGGAAATGTTTTTCCAATGAGACATTGTGTCAAGAATTTTTGCGGAAAACATACGAAATACTTTTAACGCGAGTACGTGAAGGCATTCAGGTTCTAAGCGTGAATACTGGCTAGCCGTTACGCCCCATTTTCCAATTGTTGCTGCCCAGAATGTTGGTTTTAGAGTTCTTGCGTGGGTTTTGAGCGGATCGGGAGTAAAGTAAGTCCAGATCTCTTTCATAAATGAATAATTTGCTAACTAGGTAGTAGGTAGTGTAGTTGTATAATTCTGTTGGTTGTATAATGCCAGGCTAAAAACGAATCAATGTTCAAATTAATGTGGGTTAGTGCAGCCAGAATTGAGGCCTTGTCTATCAGGACGACCGTCAGTTTTTAATTCTGTCCTAATATTTGTACCGAGTATTATCTGAGTACGGGCTCAATTCTGTGTTTTGGTATTATGCCCCACATACTCATATCATGTGTTTCCCATTTGATTAATTGCACCATCTTTGAATTCAGTTTCAGACCAATCAGACTCCGAATACTACTTTTTGACTCTAGTACATGTTAATTTTATCTGGTGTCACTGAAAAACCCGAAGTGCTCGACACATGTCGCTTAAAATAGCGAGACGTAAACAACCGGAGAGGGTGAATTCCATTCTTGTGACGTGGTGACGTGCCTACTCAAATGTTCATGCTTTTTACTTTTGTCTCGATCAGTAATTGTGTTTTGCTCAACACGAATTGATTATTATTGAATATTTGATTTTATTTATCTAAAATTAACACCAGTCCATGGATATTGAACTCAGCCCTTATTCCTGTTTAATTTTTCTATCTCAGTACAGTAGTTAGTTTTGGAAAGTCATGAATCTGTGAACATCTTTGAAAAATTATCCAATAATTTTTCGACTTTGATTTGAATCGACAACATTTTTCACGTCGTAGTTTATTTAAACTAGGCTTTGCAGCCGGATTTTATTCCTTATAAATTTTTAAATTTCAGTGAGTGACAACTTGACGCCTTTATAATTTTCATGTATATTTCATGAAATACTGTGGTATAATTGGGAATATTAGAGTGCAATTGCGAGTAATTACTTGCTGTTTTATAATTTAAATCATTTACTGTACAATGTTGATGGATAGCGTTACTTTGTGTAGTTTAAGATTCAAAATTATTCGAAAAATATTTGTGAATTTCGGTTAACTTATCTCGGTAAGTGATTTGGGAAATGTGTTATTGTGCCTGAGATGAAATAACATCAAGAAGTTAGTAAAATACCCTATTTTTTACAGTTCGTTCACACTGCTGGAGTTGTGAATAATAATACTACTACTAATGAATCGAGCGCATATGCCCTATAATTCACTTCATTGTAACCATTGTGTTCGTCCCATACGTCGCGACTTCGGTTTGCTATAACTATATGGGGTTTCAAAAAAACGTGCCTCGTATTTGACTTAATTAGGCGTTAGGCTTTACGACTTAATTCGAGATCGGGTTGAAGACAGTTACGAAAAAAAAGTAGGGCGTTTTTACATGTTTGGACGATTGGTAACACTACTGGCGAGAGCAAAATATGTCAATTGTCTGTACTTATCCAACGGGTTGTTGTTTATAATAAATTAATTTTATAATATCCAAGTAGTGTTGGTAAAAAATTTCGAGAAATTCGGTTTTCACGCAACGCTGAACAGCAAACCTCATTCGGCTACATACAACGCAGAAAAGTAATCTGTCGAGTGGAAGCGATGGTCTCCCCGATAAGCCTGAATAACTCGGCCGCATTTCTTGAGCAGCAGTAGTCAATAGTCATAGAATGAAAGCTCAGGAATTTTTCGATGTAGCCTTACGATATATACTAAAACTTAGTTCGACGTTCCGCATACCACACTAGCATGGACGCGCACACATGCATGCAAAAGTAATTAGGCGATTTGTTGTGAGGATAGTATTATGACTACCATGACAATTTGAATCAATTTATCTTCATATTTGCTGTTTATTTTTCCATGTGTTAGTTAATAGATGAAATAATTACTATATAGCCATATATCTCTTACTACTGAAATCTGTGAAGGAGGGTTTCATCTGTTTGCGTCGGTTAGACTTGTATATGCAGTTTGGATTTTACCGTATATGAAGTCAGATTGGATTGGTTGCATTTATATAGAGTTCGTGGATCGTCGTAATCAATAACATGGGAAACTTATTTTCCAAGAGTGGGAACTTCTCTCCCGGAAGAAATAGTGAGTATACGTTTTATTTCTATTTACTTATTTGATATTGAATTTGTACGTCGGTACAATCTTGAAAGTTGAATGGTTGCCAGCTTTTCAATATTCGTCACTCACATTGGTATTGGTCGTTTATCTGGTCTAACTCAGCCATGGTCATGCTAATAATCTAGGAGAATTTTTGTTGATCGGTCCATGCCATTTGTGGTAAAACTTGCTCAGTTTATGTGTGATGAAATGCCACGTAGTTTCAAATCGTAAACGAACATGCAGTAAGCCCACTCCGTATAGTTGCGGTTGATCTTCATAGAATTATTATCAAAACATTTCGTGTTTCCCGGATCTGTCTGATACTGTTGGAATTTATATATGGTTTGACGTAATGGAATCAAAATCGAAGAAAAGTTGGAGAGTTTGGAAGAAACAACGGTAATGTTTCGTTGCGTTGTTGTCGATCCCATTGAATGATCTAATCATCTAATGATTGGTTCCGATAATTGCCTCTGTTAGTTTTTGGGGGGACGATCATTATTTGAATATATTGCTGCATGGTTACTGCTGGGGAAGCTTAGGGTGTATTTCATCAAATAACGGGTGGAAAAATCATCCACAATCGGATATAAAGAACAGAATTCGTTTTTTTTTATGGAACTGTAGAATAATTTCCAATGAGCACAGTGTCACTTTTGAGTTTTTTGTATTAGCCTGGAGTAGTGTAAGCACAAAATGTATTTCTCCGTTATCCCGTTCTTTCAGATGTACGGGAGAGCATCTTTGTCCCAAAAATTTATGCAAATGTAAATTTTGTCCATTTGAGGATCGCAGTGCAATGTCGAAAATGTGCCAAGCATGCTACTGTATTTCAGCATACGCGCGAGTATCCATTACACACTACCTGTTACAATGTCGTGTAACTGGACGAATAACACCGCAGATAAATCGATTTTTCGTGAAGACGTTCCTTTTTTTATGTACTATCCATACCTTAACATGGAAGGGCCCGATAGTGTTCCTCTTTTTATGTACTATCCATACCTTAACATGGAAGGGCCCGATAGTATATTAACTCATGCAATTGCAACATGAAGGGATACCATAAACCGACAAGGAAACACATAATTCGCACTCAAAACTTTTTTAAATTGTGCATCGTGTTTTCAAATCTTGGGATATCTAAGCTTAAGAAGAGTGTGGGTCAGCTCTTTCAAGTCGTCGTAGGTTGGAACATTCATTAGTTTGCTACGCTGGTGCTTAGCAATGTGGAGAATGAGTCAAATATTTGTTTACAATTGATTGGTAAATTAATACGCTACACGAGTATGTGGTAACTGGCAATCATCTATGAAATATTGGTAGCGCTTTCGAGTGTCTGTTTTAGTACAGAAATGCCACTCATGATGATCAACTTACAATTCTTTCAACAATATTGTTGATTTATATATATATGCTGTACTGTCTAAATCTAAAAATTAGGGTTTTTATCACAAGTTGGATGAAAAAACCAAATTGCCAACCCCAACATTTTTACTTTAATTAGTTAATCAAAATCGACCCTATTTGAAAGTAGTAAAATAGTAAAACGAAAGTTTTTTTATTCTAATATTCCTGAAAAATATTATATGCTATTAAAATGGTTGATATACGTGACACATAATAATCACAACATTGAATTTAACTTTTGAAATAATTGTGATCGCTCATTTGACTTGAACACGATGAGCTGTTTGCTGATTATTTTATAAATGCTATCAGCTTGTAGTTGCCGGTTGCGGCTTTGGTTCGCTGAGCGGGTGCGGAGAAATTTCTACTCGTTGCCAAAACTTCTGCAAGAATGTTAAGAATGTATCGGCGATTGCGTGTACCGCACAATAATGAAAAATACGACGAACGTTCTTTAAGAGTTGCCTAACGAGCTGTAATGCGGCAGAAAACTCATAAACCGTAATAATAGTTATCTCTTACTTCTCTCTAGTCACTTCCGTAGTATTTATTTGTTGTACAATATTTAAGTGAATTCAATGGATCATCGGATCTTCATTGGACTTTCAATAATCGGAATTATTTCAACTTCATTACACAAAATACATGAAGTATTCTTTTGGCATATTTTGTTTTTTTAATTGAACGATTTTTATGACTGAACTTGTTACTGGTATACTTATCAACTGTAGCAGTACTCTTTGTAGAAGTTGAATTAGCTGCTTCGTAGTTGCTTTTAATATCGCTGACTTGGTTAGTACAAGTATATATACACGCGCTTAAAATTCTTGAGAACAAGTCAATTCCCCGATCTTCTTGTAATTTCGTGGTTCTGTGCATTCCCATGTTCGTGGCTTTATTAAAAAGCGTTGACAAACAGTATGGCGAAAACGAGTCACGCGAGTTAGGAGACCTTTACAGATACATAATAAACTACAGGTACATATTGCAGAAAAACTTCACCATAAAACTAGTTGACTTGAATTTGTTGAAGGGGTGTTTTAAAATGATTTAAATGTTCCGACTAATGGACCGAACTTTTATTACTTTTTAACATCTTAGGCCTGTATTATCATTATAAATTTACCAGCAGACCAATAAAATATTTTCCTTGAATGACGGCTTTTAACTTGACCATCACAAGTAAAAGTAGCGTGCTGTCTTCTAACATTAATAATAGTGCGCAACTCTTTATCTCTTGTTCAAAAGAATATGAAAATAAATATTGATTCTTAAATTTGAATTAAAGTTGTAAAATATAAAAATAAGATAAACGGATGATCATAACGTTCGAATCTAATTTTCATCCGCGCTTCGATGTTTTTGTATATAGTTTAAAACGAACAAATATGTTACTTCAGCTTCATGCGAACAATAGATCTAAATCTAGTGCTCTCATTACATTATTCATTGTATTTTGTTCATTCCTATCATATATACTTCTTGGAAGACCGGCAACTTTTGCAACACAATTCGGTTACTGCCGAAAGGGGAGTGAAATACATGTGAATTGTCTATCTTCCGATTGAATTCCAAATCTTAAAATTGCCTTGTTCGATTGATTTTATGTGATTCTTTGATCAATCAGGCGCAAATGTAGCAATCAACACTCTAAAAATGGCAATAAATCATATCAAGAGTTTATTAGTCTGTATTAGTGAACTGTGTGGTGTGGCTATCCCACAAAATACAAATAATATTTGTTTGTATACTCTCGTCATATACTGTGAACAAATTTATCAAATTCACTATGATTTAAAAATGAAACCGCATTTAAGCAGCATGCCACTTTATTATACCCACCCAAGTATGTTTGGTGTGTGATTGGTTGATAATGAGCGTGATCTATATGCACCTAACATTTAATTCCGATTACACCAATCTTACACAATTACTTGTGTTTGCCAGAGAAATGAATAATTTTTTTTTACTGTAGTACGAGCGTATTTATTTTTTCACTACACGAAAACAACTCATCTTCTCACAGATAAATGCCGAGCATGGGAATGAGCCATCGTAGCCCGAGGCGTAGATAGCGTGTTGACTCAAATAAATGGGATATTTGTTTCAAGTAAAGATAGTAATATTGTGCTTAGAAACACTAAACCACTTATTTTACTTCGTCTGTTGATCTCTTTTATTTGCGAATCGAACGTTGATAGCTGTATTGCGCTGTTAATAAAACACGATACATTTCGTTGTTTTTGGCAATATTAACCTGTGGCCACAGCAACGTCTTTTTCTTCTTGTAACATGACACACTGATATTGTAATCCCGTAATGTATGTAACTCCGAAAAAAGTAATACTCTTAGCTTACCACAATGTCCAGTGTTACAGTAAAGGTTGTTTGTAAAACGCAATATTATTAATTCTTTTTTCTTGGAAACATCACCCCATGGTCCTACTTTCAGAAATTGCTCAATCCAAATGAAGTGGCGTTATCGGGTTATAGCATAACATTCAGTAAATCGAATACGATTTTCTCGTCTATTATCCCTCAAAATTGTATGCAAATCACCTAATTTATTTAGTCCATTTCGCGGTTTTATGCTGTGATTATCTGGTCTTGTTTTGATCAGAATTAAATAATGGTTCGAATCGCCGGGTCGTCTTGACAAGGTGGTTTACAGGGAGCGATGGGATTCAGTGGATTGGAATGATTTCTCTCGAGTCAAGTCAAGTCACCGTTGATCCAGGTGCCTAGTTCAGTCGAGTTTAAACTCATCGGGCTAGTTTAGTTTTCTCAAAACTGGACCGCATCGATGTCGAATTTTAAAATGCGAGCGTGTAAATTACTTTTCAAATATACTTGACGGTTTTCGAGTACTGATTAAAATTTTATCTTCATATCACAGGGATGGCGAACCACTGACCCGCGGGTGACCCACCGCGTTTTATTCGTGACCCGCTAAGGCACGAATAAAATGCTAACATATCAGTGATAAAACCGGCCTCAAATTAATCTAACAATAACTAAACTATTATAATGTACCGTCAGTTGGGCAGTCAGGACTGCGATCGCTTATATTCAAATTGTTAAATTTTCGGTATGTTAATTTTCAAAACCCATAATCTTGGACGCATGTCTGCACCGTTGCGTGCCGTTATTCAGCTATTGGCTCTGACATTGTTTATGACATAACAATGCAATTGATGTTCATTTCTAGCAACGTCTTGTCTCTTTCAGAAGTGCATCTGCCAACAGTTTTAGGGGATATACGAGAACTAGATGCTACTTTGCATTTTATTAGTTTCTCGCCTACAATGCTGTTGAGAATACAAATCTTTCAGACTTGAAATAAAAATCTAGCATAACAATGGGGCAGTGTAAAATTGCTTTTAATATGGTTAAAGCTGATAGAAAAATATAACACTATCAGAGTGGAATTCCCTCCAAACTCTTTGGAACCTTGAAATAATTTGCGCATCATCCCAAACGTAATTCATATGCGTACTCTAATTTCATAAATTCGAGTGCCATAAAAAGTCCATGATACAAGTGCTGTATAAGTAAAGCCCTAAACTACACCA